CCTACACCACCACCACCACCACCACCACCAAGGACAACAAAGGAGGAGGAAGCGAGTAGATGACCGCCAAACGGCCCAACGGCGCCGCAACCTTCAATGACGCACCATCGCCGTACCCAACGTAACCCGACGTACCGCCAGGCTGGACAGGAACAGTACGATGAGCATGGACACGTCAGCCCGTACATCCAGTCCCAACTGCTCCAGGGAGGGCAGGTGGTAGAATACGGCGGAACACAGCCACACGATGTAGAGCGCCGAGAAGTTTATGTAGCCGCTGTCGGGTTTTTTAAAAAAGGGCGGCGAGCGACTGACGTGACTAAAAGAACCCCCCGGAAAGGTCGAGGCATGTGCTAAGGCAAGAAACACTGCAACTACTGCCGTACCGTTGCCCCCGCTGCCAGTCCCGTACCGTTTCGCGGACCCCAGGCCCACGCGGATGAAGGGGCGGGCGTACAGGTAGGCGAAGAAACACAGCACGCCTGGGCACGTGGGGGTTTGGGTGTGTGGAGCAAGGGGAGATAGGGGAAGGGGGTTACGACGAAGCACAGACGATTGACGAGGGGAAAGTAAGGGGGGCCGGTGTGGGGAGGAGCAAATGGCACGGCAGGCCGATAGGGCGGCCGGCTCGGGGGTTGGGGCCAGGGGGGTTCAGTCGCATGTTTTGCGGGCGTTTAAAAGGTGGGGCCATCACTCCGGGGAGGTAGGTAATGGCACACGCGAAGGTGACGTAGACATAGACGACAAGCAGCGAGGGGACCGAAGGTGGGGTGTAGCCCTCCACAGCAGGAAGCTGCTACAGCCGCAACAGAGGAGGCGTACAGCCATTCCTGCCAGCTGAAAGCGGCTCCACACAGCCCCAGGGATTCCGAGGAAAGTCTCTCTGGAAAAGCCATTTAGGGGTAAGACAGATTTTGAATTGTGTGGTGTGGCCTTGTACCTCATGCCCATTTGTAAATCCGGTTTGCGATGGACCCCGGCACAACATTCTTCTTCTGAAACCCTGGCACTGGAACATACCGTACAGCAAAAGCCATTTCCGATTAAGCTGATTTCTTTCGATGAGGCCCTGTGAGCCATAGTGTGCACGGGTGAAAAGGCATGCGGTCAGAAAAGGTTGGGCCGGGCCATTGACTGCTTCCAGGAGGGTCAAGAGACAGGCGAGTTGAGGTTCCCGGGCCGTGTAGCTGTTTTTTGCTCACCTGTGCACTGTCAGTAAATAGGCACGCGACTGCGAATGCACCGGCTAGATATGCGCCCAGGTGTGTATGTTCAAACTGCACTAGCGTCATCGTGGTCTCTTGGCTGTGCCGACGGTGCCCTACATCTTCGGGCTAATACAGCCTATAAGAAATATCCAAAACTCTTTCGTTCGCAACCTAGTATGTCTCAAGCTCAGCGTGCTCTCAGCGCAATGGCTAGGGTTTGCGGACGAAACAGCAGCTGTTGAAGAGGCACACAGATTACACAAAGTGCACAATATTCACTGCGAAAGACGCATATACAAAGAAAGTGAAAAACATGGAATCTATTCGGAATCAATAAACGTATATCTCGAACCTGTTAGCTTTCTGTGCATTTCACGACAGAGTTATCCTGAATATCTCATAGAGAATTTATTGTATATGGACGCATCGGGCACAGCATGCAAACCTGGCACTCTAATACGCTTAAAATCCTCCTGCCCAGGTACGACGGCTGCTTAGCTTCCTCCGCCATCGAACACAGCTCTTTCCGTAATTGCGCAGGTATGTGCATCACACTGCTTAATTCATAACTCATGGCTTCATGGCTCGTCAATCTCGATTGTATGACCGTATCAGCGTCTGGCCCTATACCCTGTAGATATGGCGACGGGTCAGCTAACCACCTGCCATTCCTTCGGAAGGTGATATCATGCGCCCGCGTACACGGACACAGCTTGCCGACCGTCCCCTGCCGCTGCTTGCGAAGCCGCGGCCGCCACAGATGCATTGGAGATGCTCTCCTGATTTGGTGCTGTGAGTTAATGGCGTGTCCTAGTGATGTCGGACTTACCTCCCAACTAAGAAATGGGCCGTTTGGAACTCTTATAGCCCTGAGAAAGGGGCTCTTACATGCCGCTCCCGGCTCTTTTCCTTGGGTTGGGACTCGGAGGCTCTTACAAGGCCATCGCCGTAATCCATCGCCCTGCGGCAGGCCTGCGCCTGTTACCATGAAAGAGAAATAACTCGCAAGAGTCATATAACCGCAAGAACGGAAATGAACCCGACATGTCGTACACGTGTTTTTAGAGTCTCCGCTGATGGCATGGCAGCGGTCGTACATGACTCCGGCCACACAAGATGTGACCGGGATTCGACGGCGACGATGAAGGCGGGGATGAAGACAATCAAAGCAAAGGATGATAGTGGGGGCCTCGATATAGGGGCCGTGCGCGTCCGGCAGCCGTTAATACAGGCGCGATGCGTGTCTGGCAGCCGACGATACGGGCTCCGCCCTAGCAGCCCGAGCGTGCTTAGAAGAACGCACCTGTTGGTGGTAGTTGCGCCCGTTGGTGGTTGTGGACAGGGGTAGATGGCCTGAGACACCCTCCTGCTAGCGTGTGCACACTTTCCAATTGTTGTAGAGAACTGCGTTATGTGGGGAAGCTGAGGAAAGCCTTGTTTGTGGTGCACTATGCGGCCGGGGCTTGTAGTGGTACGCAGGATCACAATATAAATATGTCGTGTGCCGTTAGTACGGATCCTACATACGGTTGTTTGTGATGAAGCGGAATTCGCTTAGCGGATGCCGGGAGCCGCGAATATGGCCGAACGGTGCAAGGAAGCCTTAAATGGGCTATAAAAAACCTCTCAAAATGGCAGTTTCTAAAGCTTCCCGGGTTCACTTGCATCGTCATCATAGTGGTTGGCACCGACTAGCAGGTCTTCGGACAAGGAGGTCATGTCGTGGTGTGGGCATGGTTTTCGATGTCATTTTCCTAACTCGCTGTACGCCTCCTGCCGCCCATCGCTTTTTTTATTTCCTTCCGTATGTTTGGTGGTCTTCATCTTTGCCTTGTTTTCCTGTTTCCTCTGGTGAAGCCTCTGCGTTCGTGCTTGGGTTTTGCATTTTTCTGTCCTTCGCCTTCTTTGGAGATGGTTCCCGGTCAAGGTTTGCTTCCCCTCTCCTAGCTCGTGCACCTCCTTTGCAAATGCTGTAACCGTTCTCGGGAACAAAAAGAAGCTCGCGGCCGTCTTACAGTGCGTCCTTGATCGCGATTTCATGCTCTTAACTCTCCGGATGAGCAATGAGATCTTTTAGGGTTTAGACGATGGGGGTCCTGTGGGTCGTAGAGCAGTATGGATATCGAATAGCGCGGATATGGAACTGACAGGAAAATTTCCGAAAGGCATAAATGAGACAACAATGGTTTGGATTGGGGAACAAAGATGTTGAGATTAATACGGCTTTGATCTAATCGCATCCGTCCACCGAGCGCTTGTACTTCATAATCCGGTTCTGAATTTTTTGGGAGCCTTGGCAATTGTTTCGAGGGATGCAATATCTCACGCCTGGCCCATGAACGTGTATTGACGCGTTTTAGCCCAGCAACTGTTGCATCATTTATTCCCTAGCACAAACCATGGTAGCTCTTGTCGAACAGAGCCGCGTCGAGAATGAGCTGGCGGCGATTCGGCTTCAAGAAGAGGAGCTGCAAGCCCAACAGGATGCTTTAGTTGCTCAGCGCTTAGCCATAGCTTTTAGCCTCGGCTTTGATCTTGAAGATGAAAATATGCTTGAAAATGAGATCCAGCAGCTTGGGCTGGATATCCCAGGTATCGCCGACATCCAGCAGCTTGAACGTCAACTCCAGGAGCTCCACGCCACGGCTAGCTTCATTGTGGCCGAATCAGTGCAGGAATCCCTTTCAAAACAGGTGCAAGCAGAACAGAAGTCGGAGGCAGTGGCAGCGGCGATGTGGGCCCAGGAGCGTTGGCGCGCCGCGGTCGCACGCCACGACGAGAACTTTGCGCGCAAGCTTGTTAGCCTCGACGAACGGACTTGGGCTGAGGAGGGTGACCTCCTGGAGGAACCCTTGAACCTTCCGATGCCGGTTGCGGCGACGCCTCCTGAGGACGATTGCCCCGGCGCCCCTCAGGACGTTTGCTCCGGCGCCGCTGCTAGTGGGCCGCAGCGGCCGACACCGCAGCCTTCCGGGACGAGGGCCTTAACTCCGACTCCAGCCCACGGGCTCACAACCCAACGACCTACAACAGCTCGGCCCCCACCTGTCGCACCACCCCCCAGCGGATCAGGCACGCGCAGCAGTGCGCCCGCCTCCGGAGGGCCCGGGCCCTCGGCAACGGCAGCCCCAGGCGGCTCCACCGCTAAGCCCACGGGGAGAACAAATCCCGTAACAGTCACGTGCCTGTCCTGCTTTGACCAGTTCCCCCAGCAAGAAGTTACGTGCGCCGGGGCTGACGCAGCGTCATCCAGCACGGCCTCTGCCGGCTGCGGCCACTTCTTTTGCTCTGGCTGCATTTCCGAGTACGTGCGCGGGGCGATCAAGGACGGCAAGTACCCCATCACCTGCCCCATGGCTGTGGGGGGAGGCGCAGGAGGCGGAGGAGGCGCAGGAGGGGGACGACAGGGCTGCCGACTGAAGTTCTCGAGGGAAGCTGTCATGGCGACGTTGGAGGGCCAAACCAAGGAGGTGCAGGTACGCAGCAAGGCAAGGGAGGGGCCGTACTTTACAGATCATGGTGCACATGCCCCATGCTCTTGCAGAACTCAGGCTGCCAGTTTCACAGATGCCATCAAATTGCCAATTATCAGTTGCTGGCTACGGAACAGAGGGGAGCCGCACGTTGAGCGGCTCGCATCACATGTTGGCCAGCATAGCGAGCAGGCCCCAGCCTCCCACTCCCCCAGCCGCGCTCCATACGCTCCGCATTACCCGCTGTTGCGGCCCACCACCTCCGATACCCTCCGCGCAGGCCTTCCGTCTTCTAGAAGCCAAGTCCACCCTGGACCCCAGCAAGCTGCTCTATTGCCCGCACAAGTCCTGCTCCAGCCCACTCCAGGTGGAACTAAGCGAGCTACCCTCCAACCAGCCCAGCACCTGCCCCGCCTGCGGCAAGGGCTTCTGCCCTCGTTGTCGCATCCCCGGATGGCACAAGGTGAGATGAGGGGAGCTAGGCCGGGCGGACTTGGGGGGGGGCGCGCCCGGGGCGCGACCCGTGCGAGCTGCGAGCCAAGTAAGGGAACTAGAAGACGGGACTCGTGTAGTCCTTTGCGCTGAAGCCCCAGCTCCAGGGATTGCCAACCGGGGGCTGTCTTGCTGCGTACCCGGCACGGCCTCCGCTGGCCGCACCCGTCTCCCGCCGTCACCTGTGTGTCTGTGTTTCCCTCCCCTCAGGGCTACACCTGCACGGAGTTTCAGGCCCTCCCCGCCCACCTCCGCTCGGCGGAGGACGCCGCCGTGCTCCAGTTGTCTGAGAAGCAGCAGTGGAAGCAATGCCCGCAGTGCAAGCAAATGGTGGAGCGCAGCGTGGGGTGCAATCATATGCTGTGCCGATGCGGATGCAACTTCTGCTACGGGTGCGGCCAGGCGTACAAGGATAATAAGCCGACAGCCGCCAACGTACACGGCACGCCTGCCTGCGGCTGCCAGCTGTTCGATGTGCCTCGCGACGTGGATGAAAGGTTAGACAACGATGACAATGGTGACAGTGATGATAGCGATGACAGCGATGATGAGGAGCTCAATGTTCTGCCTAGAGTTGCGTTAGCTCCGTTCGCGTTCCCGGTTGGTGACGTGCTCCCCGTAGTAGAGCCGCCGCCTCGATCCCGACCCTGGCGCGGCGGACGCTTCGTCAGCCGCACTCGGTGTCGGCATTCGGCCTCCATCTACGACTGCCCGAAGGGGCCCGGCCGGTGCTGGTTCTGGCATGACGAGGACGATGCGCCCACCTATTACTACGACAGCGATTAGAGGACGGCGTGCGGCAGCCGGGGGCTTAAGTATGGACAGTCTGGGAAAGGGCCATTGGCAGCTCAGGGATTGGAACGGAATCAGGGTTTAGGCGCAGCACAGCGCAGGTTTCTCGCTCTGTGTGTTTTCTGTGTACGTTCTGTGCCTGAGAAGAGAGAATCATCCACGGAGAAGACAAGTCAATGTCCTTGAGACCACGGCACGGCACGGCACGTGTAAAATGGCCGGTGTATGATGAGGATTGGAGGTATGCATGTATGTATGCCAGCTTCAGCGGGTGGTCCGGTTGAAACGCCACAAGCTGGTATGTTCGTAGTTTGATTATTAAATATTTGGATCTGCCCCTTTTTAACGTATCGATCCTTTCCTGAGTTGTTTGTTGTCGCGATGTGGCTTTTAGACCGAGTCCTTACGATTTGGATGCGACTGCAGTGATGTCGCACCCATCAGGTTCTCAGGTGCATGGCTAGCCGGGCTGTTTGATCCGTTTTGTTGCGATGATCATTTTCTGTCGAAGGTTTTGGGAAGTGCGGCGAAGCCAAATCCTTGCCAGGTCAGCAGCTTGACCTGCCGCCGTACTTTTGACCTTGCAGGGCCAGGGTAGCGCGAGGCTTATGGTAGCGCGCGTCCCATAAGCATGCGGGACATGAAAGGTAGGCTCGCTCAGCGTGTTTTTTCCGGCATGGGTGGAGGCCGGGTAGGTTAATATTACAGCGCATATGAACGGCGCAATGTTGCCGTTTTTGCATTGCTGCGTTCAGGAGTCCGTATATACATTGTTCGCCTTTGGCTACGAATCCAAGAACATGGTCTCCACAGCCCGGCAAATATACGTGCGACCGGAGTTGCGCAAGTGTCGTAGGAGAGCCCCAAAAAGGAAATGAAAGGTGGAGTAACGTCTTGGGTTGTTGTCCTTGCAGCGATGATGCAGCGCGCTTGTTGTGTGTAATGAATGCTGTCATTGTAATGAAGGCCTTTGGTACGAGAGCTAAGGGATAAACATGCGCTATAATGTCACAGCAACCGGGGGAGCAGGGCGTACCATCCGTGGCACTATATCCCACAGCTGTCGCAGCAACCGTCGCCCCAGCAACAGCCACAAGCAAGCAGTTCGACGGCCTCCAGGATGGGACGCCATGCTTGTCCTGCGTGTAAGTGTGTATGCGCGGGAGCGCATTCTCCTAGCCAGGTTGCGGGTGACCAGCGGCCAGATGGGGGCTAGGGCCCCTATACAAGCACTACGAATCCACCATCATGCTTCTGCACTCTTATGTAAGCGAAACCAGAATTCAGTAGATGGCCGTGGCTGTAGGGCCTTGACGGCACGAGGAACTGAGGAAAGAAGGCGGCCGTTTAAATCAATTCGCAATAAACTAAAATGGCAAATCTCATCTCCCAGCCGCCGCCGCCAGGGTCTGATTTGGGCGGGGCAAGGGGGAGCTTCTTAGCTCCGATAGAGAGTCCGTTAAACAAGATGATGCATCAACAATGGCATTTCAGAAATCGCCCGAGCTTCCAAGGAAGAAGCCCTTCCGCGTGCGCAGTATGGCAACCGCATATCCAACAACTAAAACAACTGCTTCCAGGATCCTCCATAACATGAGGACTGCTTTGTCTGCTGCTGCGCAAAAAGAGGAACCTGCGTTCCCACAGAGGCACTGCCGATGCATATGGATAAGGCCTCCTAAGTAAGCAACTTCCCAGCAGCCCCACCACCGCATCACGCGATTAACGAGACCTGACATCCACAGCCTGCGGGCCCCCTGATGTACGACATCCACGCAGGAATATCCCAATCGTCCATAATCAGTCGTACGGTCCCTTATGGACACCATGTCATGGTGTTACATCATGGACACGAAAACTCTCGTCTCTGCCGTATCGGCCCCTGCCTTGCCCAGATGCGAGCTCTCTCGCGGTGGGGCCCCCCTAATAGGAATTATGGCGGCCTCCCGGAGTGCCCTCGCCCTCGAGGCTAATTTTGTTTCAGTCCCCATCGGGCCCGGCGGAACCAGTCAGCAGCCATGCACCTGCCATGTCTTTATGCATTAGGTTTATATGCCAAAGTATCTTGAAACCAAGTACAGCCTGCGTACATTTGCTCGAGACGATGATGACCTCATGAAGAAGTAGGCGCGAACCCATTGTGGCTGTTCATGTCTAAGACACGGATGCCGAGGAGGATTGTTGAAGCACGCGCAGGCCTTCACCCAGGACGGATCCCGCGGGGTGGCAGGAGGGCAATACGTGCACGGCCGACCGAAAACCCTGAAGCCCTCCACCACCACCCAAGCACTTCAAAAGTTGGTGCTCTTCGCTCGGTGCCTTGCGTCCCCAGCCGCCCTTTATACGGGTTTGTAATATTCCTTGGCACAGCGCTGACACGTCCGGACTTCCGGCGTGCAGTACGGGTAGGAGAAGTTGAAGGGGCCTGGAACAACGGGTAGGAGAAGCGGGGCGTGGGGCAGGAAGGTAAAACGAGTTTGAAGAGAGAGTCCCTGTCGTGTATATGCCCTGGGGCCGCTGGCGAACACATACATACCACCCTGTAACAACATACATACATTTAAGTACATAAAAATGTATGTATGTGTGCGTATTGTGTACATGTATATCTTGGTGAATTGGTCAACCGCATCCGCCTGAATCCCGTTTCTACACAAGGCCATCTGCCCAACTCAGCGGCAGCAGCCCTGTAGGCATTTGAAGAACCTCAGCGGCGTGCGGCGCCGCGTGCGCACAGCTGCAGCAGCAGCAGCAGCAGCAGCAACAACCGCTACACCCGGCAGAATACCTAAACCTAAAACCCTAAGTTAAACCTTCGAGGCATCAAGCGCACTGGCCTGCAGCATGCAAGGCCGCGGCGCACGCTGTGCCCGCATCCTTCCAGTCCTTCCCCGGACATGCGCCAAACCCAAAGGTAACATGTCAAGCCTGTAGGCCGCATGCCTCCGCGCGCAGCTGCGTCCCCCTTACGGCAACGGTGTATCTTCAGTTGTGCGGGCTTACAGCAGCAGATGCACATGAGCCAGGCGGCTAAGGTCCAGCGGGCTGGGCCCAGGTCGCCGCCGCAGGAGCACACACCCTCGTGGAAGCCAGCTGCATGCTGCTGCTGCACGTAGACAGCCTGCGGAATGGCGATGGCGCTGGGCGTGCCGTACACCACGTGTGGCTGCTGTGCCTGCTGTGGCGGCAGCGGGTAAAAGCCCGCGGGTTGCGGGACACCCCCCACGGGGGGATAAACCGCAGCAACTGGAACCTGCTGATAGACTTGATATGGGACGGGCTGGGGGATTCCCGGGTTGGGCGAGAGCGCCCCAGGTGCTGCTGGAGGTTGGGGACTCATTGCGGTGAGCCCGAGGAAGGTAAGGTCTAGACGGGATGCTCCTTCGCGGAAGGTGTGAAAGGATGGTTAGCCGCTGAGATATTTGGACTTTTTGATGTAAGCTGAAGCGGAACTGTAGGTTCCGGGGCACCTGGGTCGCTCGAATGCTGTGCTGTGCGCGATTAGGTTCTGAGGCGCGTCACCAAAATGCCGACCTGAGTGATAATGCAAGTAAAACTCAAGTTTAATTTGCTTAGACGAGGTGTGCGGACCAATTATAACGCAAGGCATCGCCTCCCAACTTACCCTTACACAACGACCGAATTACGATTCATTCCAGCATGTGAATTGGTGATGTATTTACTCCTACGAGTCTGCCCGAATTTGGTGGATATTTATGTTAATATTTGTGTTAATATCGGCCGGCAGAATCCAAAACAGTTAGTTTTCAACGGAATTCTAAACTGTCGCAGGTTGCAACTTGCAACCAACGAAATGAGTTTTGAAGCTTTGGACCAGACATCGGCAAATGGGGTATTTCTGGTTTCGGGAACGGTTCTATTTCTGTCTTCCAGTACAATGGCCCGCGACCTGTTCTTCATCATTGACCGTGGACTCAGGTCGACGGGTGGCCCTTCGGGCTGCATAACACCTTTCGTATACGGCGTACGATCCTATTTCTGCAAGCCGGCCGGCTTCGGGAACTCTATTTCTGTTTTCGGGAGTTTCGGTACAACCCGAAACTCCCGAAGCGTTTGCCGGTGACTGCTTTGGACCAGCAAATAGGAACCATTGCTGTGGATCGCTGGTCAGGACAATCATAGGCCTCATTAATTGCCAAGGCTATAGGCGTGTTTAATGTTCGGCACATAAGTAATGTCCGCCCTGATTGATGTTCCACCGGAGCAAAGCGCGAGCAAATGTCCTCATATGCCCGGTTAAAATCTTTGCAAAACTGTCATGCGCTGAGTTTCTGGCGAGGATTACGGTGTATTACGGAACTTTGCTGCCCTGCTCGGAGCTGGGGAAGTGCAGGGTGTGTGGAAGATGGTGGGCGGCCCTGCCCTGCAATTCCATGCCCTCCCAGAGCCACTCCAAACGTGGATTCGTCAAAACGAGGAAGGCATTTGCTCTCTTGGTGATCCAGCCTTCGGTTTGCACAATGTCAACGGCAGCGCCCCGAGGGGCGAACGTATCAGCCGCTGCCTGGCATGATGTAGGTTGTCCATGCTGCGCAGGCCGAAGCCTGTCCTGTGATGATGACGTAAATCTCTCCATACTAAAACTGTCATCATGGATACCCAACCGGCCTGCTGCAGCGTTGGAGTGGCCTGCTGCGTACAAGGAGGAACAGGCTTTGTCTGCGGTCGCTTACGCAGTCCTGCGCAGGACTGCTATGGCTACCCCAGTTTGGTGCGTGGGGGTGTATAGCTTGAAGTCTGAGTACTTGGTTCCGTGAACTGCTTCGTCGCAGGTGAGATGGGTGACGCATCAGGCTTGTTAAGTGATAGCTTTCCATTATGAGATGCGACTAAATGTGGCACTCCCAGTCCCGGGTTGCCATCTGCGCAGGGTCCATCCGAGTCCATCACAACGTCAGGGTAACTGCGGCGGGCAGGAGGCGGGCAGCCTGCGACATTGTGCATATCAGTGGCCTCATCTAAATCTTATGATAGCGCTGTAATAGGCTTGAAACAATCCATAAACAGACGGAGCTGCGTATACCTATCAAATTCATACCATTGCTGCTGACAATTCTTACTATTAAGGAATATGACTTATATGCAAGGAACGATCAATGGATTTTGATTTTGACAATTGACAATGGCAAGGCAGGATTGAGCTGCCAGAAATAATCTATGCCCGTACGAGCGTATCTATAAGGAGTAAAGTGCCTTCGAGCTGAGAAGCCTATTTGGATGGTAATATCAGCTTTGAATTTTGTCGATCTAATATACTCCTGCCCGTTACGGAGCTCCTCGAAGGACAGGTTGCCGCGGAGGCGTGGTTGCCCTTCTTGAAAAGAGACCCACAACCAACTTAGTTCTCTAACCAGGCTGGTGCATAAAAGGAAATATGTCGGGCGCAGATGACTACACAAAATCGCCAGCGCCAATGCCAGCGCCAACGCCAGCGCCAATGCCAGCGCCGGCGATAGGCACGCCCCCGCCCCAAGTAGTCTATCAGCCACTTCCAGGCACAGTACAGACGGCGTATGTTACACCCCCTGGCGCCTATCCGGCGCAACCGGTCGCATATGTTCCGGGGACAACCCCGGTCCTGGTCGGTCAGCAGCCAGTCTATGTGCAGCAGATGCAACGGCCTGCCGGCTACCACGAGGGCAATTGCTCTTGTGGTGGTGATTTGGGTCCCTCACACTGGACGATTGTGGCTTGGATTCTCTGCCTCTGTTTTTGTGAGTTGTTCCGTTAACATTTCCGCGTGTCGCAAGCTTGCTCTTACGACAAATGTCCGCTCAGCAGCGTGAAATGATAACGTTGATGTCTCGTATCGGTGTTATCTCATATCACGTTTGCAGCGTGCACTTGGATGTCCGTTTTCCTGGACCGCTTTGCCAGCAGCGCATTATATGCCTGTACATCTGACCAAAGATTTCTCCTTCTTGATGCAGGCCCGTTCAATTTTTGCTATCCGTAAGTGGCAAGATTGAGACATTAGGGATGCAGTAGGGCTTGGGCAAAAGTCACAAAAGCGTGGCTAGGCATGGCTTTGCAACGCGTGTCTGCGTTAGTGCGTGCAATAATGAACACCTACATTAATGTTTGGGGTGTACAAACCATGTGCCGATATAGTCTAAACAGCGGGCGGGTTCTGGAATGGAAAGCCCAGACGATAAGTGTTATGAAAATGACATCGAAAAGCTTTGTGGTTGACCAGGCCACAACAAATACGCGAGAACGCTTTTTCGATGTCCATTTTCATGTCTGTATAGAATAAAAGTTCTAAGCGCAGGAACACATTTTCCTGTCTGCAGGTACTGCATGCCCGAGTCTCGATACTGCAAGCGCTGTGGCAAGGAGTACTACAAGCCGGTGTAAGAAGCGGCCCTGGATGGCATATTCGTTAGATACATGTGCGATGTCACGATGACATTAACCTCACGCTGCGCAAATATGCTCTCAGCAAAACACTACACGACACACGCACACTAACCGGCTGAACCCACGGCAGCATTCTATACGACAGGGGCACCTCATAGCAGCTTGTTCCTGGTAGTTGCAGATATAAGAGTCATGACGCCGACGGCAGCCTCTGTTGGTAACTGCGTGAGGCCGCCCAGCGGTTGACCTACGTACATCCAACACATGGCCGAGGGTTCATGGGACGAGCCGCTGCGCCGTTATCATTGACTGTTCGCTACGATAACAACGCGTGTGCGTAGTTATTGAAGGGCCGATCCGTGTTTGCCTGCAAGCGTGTGGTGGTGGCACAGATGTATGGCAGGCAGGGCGTACGGACAGGTAGCGTACGGTAATGAGTCCAAAAGCCTTAAGGAAAAGGGAACTGCTGATATTTCGGTTTTATTCTATTCGTTCGGTTACTCCGCCTACTTGTTTTTAGCATGCTGGAATAATTGAAATGTCTCTTGCAGCAATGGCTGTGTAGTAGTTGTTTTGTATGTACGCTGTGTGTGTATGTATGATATACATGACTTAGTTGCGCGCTGCCACGTTTAATCAGTTTCCCCAGTTTCTCTCGGCGGGAACTCGTGTTCGGGTGCGTGTTGCACGCTGTATCCCATGTGGCGGAAGTGGCACCTTTTCAATGTGAATACCTGATGACGCTTCAGGAGATCCTGACGAGCGCGGTTGCGACCTCCTCATGAATGGTTCTGCGGTGTGACGGTGGCCATGGCGCGATGCCGCTGCTCTGACACGCCCATTGCGCCGGTTAGCGTGCGTCATGGGCTGCGACCTGTGTCCCTTCGGTTATTTTACCGCACCTGCGAGGGCTCTAGGCTGCCTGGCAGGCCCACGAACCAGGGCGTGTTGTGTGCGACGTGTCTCTGTTTGCGCAGGATAAAACCTTTCTTCCTTCACCCACATCGATAGCCTCTGTTGACTCTTGATCCAGATCTCTCTTCCCCGTTCCTGATGATTGGTTTTGCGCGGTCCCGCTAGTTCCCCTCCTTCAGCACCTACACTGTTTGTAGCTTAGATGCGGCAGGAGCAAAGCGAGTATAGCCTCTAAGCTAGGTTATGTACGGCAGCCGTATGGCTTGCTGAGAATTCGAATTTACTATTTCAGCTGACAGCTCCAAAGTTCCGGCATTCTGCCTACACTATTGGAGCTTATTATTATTGTTGCTCTCACTTTTTTCCAAGACCTTACCGACTACCCTCAAGCCTCATCGACGCTCTACCACAACGAATCGACATCGCCGCGGACCTGTCACTCTCCGAGGAACAACCAGGAGCTCCGTCACAAATCAAAAAATGACGGGTAAGAGGACAAAGGCAACGGGAGATAACCTGGTCAACGCAGGAGCGGCCGAAGCAGCCGGCGAAGGGGGATCGGGCCAGATGCTGCCAGCCAACCAAAACGACATAGAAGCCGCCAGGGAAC